CAGGGGTCGGGGGGGCTCGTGGCAGAGCCCCCATGCAGCATGGGACAGCAGGGATCGCCCCCCAGCCTGGCAGGAGCCGATGAGTCAGGGCTTTTTTTTAAACAACCAGGAGCTGGGGCTGGGCAGGGATGGGGCCTGGCAGAGGTGTCCCCCCCCCCGTGGTCGCCTCTCCCCTGCCTCCTACTTACCAGGTCCAAGTCCGGGTCCAGCTCTCTGCTGCAATTAGCAGGGACTGCCCAAATTGCCAAAGCTTTTGGCATCTTTTCCAAACTGATTCAGAGAGCTTCAAATCGATTTGGACCTTTTAATTGGTCCCCTGATTCGATTCGGATTTGGAGATTCGGCCACCGAATCAGGTCGAATCTCCTCCAAATCGAATCAGCACCCGAAGCTTCACACAGCCCTACTGCTCAGCAGGTAGATGGATAGGATACTACATCACTGGCTCACATACTGGGTGTGTCTGCTTCTGTTGGCCAATTTCTGATGCAACCACATGTGCACAGCAAGGGAGACTGTGCATCAGGGGTTCTAAGAAGAGGCCTTCACCTCCGGTGATCACAATAGATCTAGTTACATATACCATGCTCCAGGTCCTAGTAGAACATCAGCATTTCAGAGATCTTCAGAGAGGCCTCTTGGCTCAAAGGAAAGAACTCAGACTGAAGTTGTTTAGCACTGGGATATGGAAAGCATGGAGAGTAGCATGATGTTTTCATCACAATACCCTACCATCACACTTCAACTCTGAACAGTAGGGGGGCATCCTAGGCAGTTCAGCCTCACTGGTCAAATTAAATCCTGTGTCTTCAAGAGAATAAATGGTGCTAATTAACAAATGTGGAAGTAGTTTTGGAGAGTAACCAATCTAGCCATGTTTGAATGGACACCATATGTTACACCCATAATCTGTAAAGCAAACAGATTTGCAATACTGGAGGCACAGGGGTGCCAGATTTGCCCAGCCCCCCAAGCTAGATCCAGACAACAGGGCTCCCTGGGGACTGAATTAAGACCCATCTCCAATAGCAGGGTGAGGGGTGGCAGCACAGTGGTTAACACAGCCACTGCTTACCCTGCCCCCACAATATGCATCCCGTGAGGCTGCATACGTTGTAATTTGGAGTCAGACCCTACCCTCAAACTCCTGGCACCTCTAGGAGTCCCACAGGTAGAGTGAAACTGCTCTAGGGGACATATCTTTGATACTCCTACCATAACATATCAGTGGTATTTGTTATGTATGGATGGGTATTTACTCAGTTTATTGAAATTAGCTTCCTCTCTTCAGCTGGTGAGACCTGATCAGGCTTTCCCATTCCTCCCCAGATAACTCGCATTAAAACCCTGGACCACACGCACTTCGAAATTTAGCATTCTGCTGGTTTCTAGCAGGCCTATTCTAACTCCATGCTCTTTTGCTAAGTGATGGTACTGCCAAAAAGCACAAGCATGCTTCAGTGAAGCATTTAATTTTGCCTTTCTTGGAAAAAAGAAACCCATTACATGGCTTTTTAAATTAGCATGTTAAAGGCTGCAGGGAAAAAAGAAGGTTGTTCAGTTACTACTGTAAGAGAAACAGGTATATCCTTTGGATAAGGAGCTAGGACCTTATTGGTTTTGGGATACTTGTTCTCTTCTTGCATCCATCTAAACTTGAGAAATAGGAGGTCAAGTAGTCCAGACTTTCCCCAGATTCATTCTAACATCCATGGAGAAGACTGGGCTGGGGCCACCTCTGCCAGAATATTAAAATGTTAACAAGCAGCATCTTGGACATTACAAAGGTTATGGTGAGGCAAACTCTAAGGAAAAATACATAAAAAGCACAGTCATGAAAACATAAGAGAAATTCTCAATCCAGGAAAGATGTGAAGCCTGTGAAAGCAGGAGGTTAACACTGGCATTGGGTGGAGGGACACTATGCACCACTTCATAACTTCACTACTCTTCAATACTAACCTGCAGTATCCCTGCCATTCCACTCTGAACACTTACAGTTAGAGACAAATTTGACAAGGGATGTTGTGCTTGTGCAGTATGACCAGAAGTGCCCATTACAATCTAGTATTTTGTTCTCCCTCTTTACAGCAGGTGCTTAGACAGGCTATAAGAAAGTGATCACTACACCACTACAGCCCAGCTGCAGCAAAAGATCCCAGTTTCTAGTGCTCTATCCAAGCTACTAGTCCATCCTGTCTTCAAAAAATATTTAAAAGTTACTTCTTACAGGGTGCTAGAATGTAAAGCTCTCAGGTTTAATTAAAATGGCTTCATCGTCATAAATGCAGAAATTTGGACTCCTTTTGGCAAAAGGGATGCCCCCACCTTTAGTGTCATTCTCTGGTCCCTCAGCCCCTGCAGGATGCTGGTCCCACTGCCAATAAGATCATCCATGCCACGATGGGCATTCTGGAGGGAGTCGTTAAACTGTAATGTTTCGTCGATCGGTATGGTGGTGTCAGAGTCCTGTGGGGGAAATGCAGTGTCTTGGTTACCTTGCTGCTCACTCCCAGTCCCACACCCATGGTTTGATCCAAAAACACAGACATTCAAGACAAAACTGAATAGGATTTGGAGAGGATAATATCTTGCATGTGGTATTTTTGGAGGAAACTATGTATCTGATGTGAAAAATGGGTTCAGACAAGCCTACACTGACAGATCTTAAGGGCAGAGGTTCAAAAGTGATCCTCTGGTTTGACCTTACAAGGGAAAAAAATACAGCTGAAGTGGAATAATTCCAAGAATCCCACTCTTAGTGCCACAGTGAGAAAGGCACTATGATAAGAAACATTATTTATCACCAAGCAGGAAGTTTACAAAGGTCTATAAGTGCAAGGGGAAAATAGATAATAGATTCCTTTTTATTTTAAGACAAAAAGGCATGACAAGATGTAAATCGCTGGAAGCTGAAGCTCGCCATTCACACTAGAGTCAAACGCAGATGAAATATTGAGAGCGATCAACCCTTTGACCAAACTTCCCTAAGGACAGGGCTGATTTGTCTTTGGAAGTTTTCAAAACAAGACTGGACTTCTTTTTTTTTCCCCCAGAGAGATGCCTTGGTTTGGTGGTAGGCAATCAGTATGTGTGCCCAAGTGGCACAGGCCCTCTACACAGCACGTGGCAGAGGGGGGAGGGAACAGGGAGCAGAAAGCAGCATTGGCCAGGGGACTGGAGTGGCACTTGGGAAGGGTGTGGGGGTTAATTTGTGGCGCACCTGCCAAAAAGTTGTTCTAGCTCAAGTAGAAGCCTAAAATCTGTTGTTATGGGAAAACCTTGATATATAGACATACAAAAAACTAGAACTCTTGGTTCCAAAATGATACCTTTTATTAGACCAACTGGAAAGCTTGCAGAAAAGGACAATTTTCTAGTTCTAGTTTTTTGTATGTCTTTTTGTCTCAAACCAACATGGCTACCAAGTACACCCCTGAAACTTGATAGATCTATGACTTTTGTTGTAAAAGAGGTGAACACAGTGACCTCTTCTGGACATTGAAAAAAAAAAAAAAAAAGCAGAGACCATGAATCTATAGTCACTGGAAAAGCTAAAAAAAAAAAAAGCCAGGCAAGAAAGAAGGAATTATGATGGATCTTCCATGTTTCCATCTTGTTTTATGAATAACAATCTCAGTTGTGGTAAAGTAGGAGGAAGGAGGGAAAGCTGCTTGCGTACAGCAGAGATTCTCAACTGTGGTGCCCAAAGAACCTTTTAAAGGTGCCAGGGGGTGCCATACAAATACTACCACTGATTGGTGTGCAAACACCTACACCGGATTCACGAGGATGAGTAGATTTCAAATTGGGATGTTTCTGATACTGTGGATTCTGCCCTGTTGTGGTCTTTGAGGTCTGTGCAATAGAAGAATTGCTCTGTTATTTTTCCATAGTCAAAAACAAGTGAAAACAAAGAGCTGACATTTTCCTAGGGGTGCCTAGAGTCTAGAAAAGCAGTATGTTTTAGGTGAGTGGCTCTCACTAATTAACAACACAGACCCAGAGAATCCATACCACTAATCCTAAACAGATTGTGCAGATTATCACAGCAAGGTATTAAGGTGCTGATGATGCTTTTAATGTGTGATTTTAGCATTTGCCATCTGCCTACATTTATCTTTGGGTTACAGAAGAATGCTGAATAAGGGGTTTAATTTCATTCCAAGTTCTCTTTAAATGGAAAGAGAATAACAGAATGGGAATTTAAGGAGGGAGGTCAAAGTGTTTGAAGAGTAGGACTGATAGAGCTCTATTTGGCTCTGGAGCTGAATAAAGTGTTCATGGTATTAAAAAACAAAACAAAACAAAAAACCAACTTTGTTTACATGGGACAGTCAGTTCATTGTCCAAGAGGTGCCATAAAATGTTGTAACTGCACTGCTAGTATTTTTTTACTGGGAGAAAAAAAAAAAAAAAAAAAAATCAGGAAAATCTTTAGGATAAAAGCTATATTTAAGTACCTTTGAATTAAAGAAAATGTCCAAGGCAGTGTTATCATTTTTATGAGTCCTATTTTATCAGTTAAAGAGAGCTTGATTCGAGGTTTAGTCACATGCCTGTGTCTCACATTTTCTCTTAAAAAAACTACATAAGACATTACAGATAACAGGGGGAAAATTGTGCGTCAGAGCTATTTAAACATTTTTATGGATTTGAAGATGTGTGGCAAGAATTGAGAGCTAATCAAAGGACAAATCAGAATTCATATTTGTTTGAATTTCTAACTTATTGTTACACATCTCCCTGAAAAGATCACGAACAGTTCAAAGGAAGAATCTCTCTCTATACTTCAGTTGACATTGACAGTCCTATGTATGAGCAATTCTACTGAAAATCCTCTATAGTCAGTTTCCTCTTATTTGGGTTTCTCTTATTACTGGGAAAAGAAAAATTGTTTAGCTATAGGAAATTTAATTACTGGCATGCCCACATTTGCAGAACTCAATTCTTTAAGAGAATTTAAGATGCTGCCAAGTTGGCATTGCTCAATTAAAGTTTCATTTATAATTCCACGGTGGCCAACTACACTGCTACAAACAAACTTTATATTGAGCCTTTTGCTTTGGCCTGCAAGTCAAGAATTAGAGAAATCATTTGCTGTCCCTTTACAACCAGTGGGTGCCAGGACCAAAATGCAAAACCAATAGTATTTTATCATTCTAGCAAAAATGGCACCAGGCCTGAGCTAGAGAAGAAAAAGTAAAGGGTGACCCAGCGGTGATGCTCAGAAAACTTCTCTGCACATTCTCATTGGGAAAACTTCTCGCTGGAGAGCTGTACTTTGAGCCTCTGCAGTGCAGCTGGCATCTCGCTGGAAAGTAACAATACAGTAGGGAGATAGAGCAACATAAACCTGCTTCCATCCAATTCAGACCCATTAAAAAAGTTGAGAAAACTTATGAATCATTTGAGCAATTGGAAGAGTGTTCCTGTGTTCTGCCAACCAATACTCTAGAACAGGGGTAGCCAACCTGCAGCTCCAGAGCCACATGCGGCTCTTCAGAAGTTAATATGCATCTTCCTTGAATCTTTGCACAAGCATACGGTGACCAGCTTCCAAATGGAAGCAGGTCACCATGTGCTTGTGCAAAGATTCAAGGAGACGCATATTAACTTCTAAAGAGCTGCATGTGGCTCCAGAGCCACAGATTGGCCACCCCTGCCCTAGAGAAATTAAAACTCATTGACACAGATGCATCTAAAATAGGGGCTGGCAACCTCTGGCCCATAAGCCACATCTATCCCTCAAAGCCATTTTATCCAGCCAATGGAGCTAGGGGCTTCTGCAGTGTTTGTGGGGGGGCTTCAGTGGCATTTCTACGGTGTGTGCAATTGGGGGGGGGGGTAGCTTTGCCTTCGTGGCAGGGAGAGAAACAGTGGTGGCAACACTGCAGGGGGAAGCACTGACTCTGGTGGAGCAGGCCAATTTGGAGGTGTCCTGTGCTCAGAGCTTAGCTCTACTGAGGCAGCTACCCACTGCAAAACACTGCCAATCCAAGCTCTGAAATACCACTGCAAAATGATAGCACTTTCCAGCCATACTGCAGCTCCCAGGAAGTGTTTTTTAAAAATAATTTTATACTATTTCAAAGCCAACACCTAGTCCTGTTTTGGTGTGCTTGCATGAGCTAACATATCACTGAACAGAGCAAAAGCAGGGAAGTTTTTCTAGAGCAATTATTCCTCTTCTGTTGTTGGCTCTGCTTTGTAAATTGCCCTCTACCCAAGCCCAGTGTTACCTTTTCTATCTTTACATACATTTGCAGCATCTTACACAAATCCTAACCCCATGCTTCCCCCTTTCAAATGGATAAGGTGGATGCTTTATGGAACTGCCCCATGTTCTAGAGCAAGGAATATTTACATTAGTGGTAAACGTGCGAGCCAGAAGTTCCTCTCGTTGTTTCTCCTGCTGTTCCCGGGCATAACGGCGATGCTGGAAGTTCCTCAGTGCTGTCTGCAGGTGCTGGACATCATACTTGAGCTGGTCAACTCGGCTACACAGAATCAAAAAGAGGAGGAAAATCCCAGGGTTAGGCAACATAAGGTAGCATTTTTTTTGGTCTTTAATTTGTGATAGACAGGGCATTAAAGATTAGAGTACAACTAATGCTAAAAAGAATATTTTGTCCTCACCTAACTTGTCTTTGAAAAGTCAATGAAGTGTCAGAAGCCAAAATTTCATGCCACAGTTCAGAGCAAAACAGGTATGCGATTACTTACAAATGGGCAAAGGATGAACCCTGAGCTGCCTCATGCATCCTCTCTTCAGAGTAGCGCATAAGCCTTCCTTAAGACAGATCTGTGCAAATTCTAAGATTTGAACAATTTTACCTCCTTTACTTCTTGGTCCATGACTCCAGGTGAGTCATTTCACTACTAGTGAAAAGAGATGCTGTTCCACAAACGTCTGACTTTTTATTATACTTTGTCTTTAAAGCTGGGATTTTCAAGGGAGCAAGAACATCCAAGAGAAAAAGAGTACCTGGCAAGAATTTTAGACCAGCAGCTGGCAACCTTTTCAGGCTGAGGACCAGAATGTCCAGCTCAGGTCAGAGGCAGACAGCTGGCAGGAGATGGCCTGCCACTGGTGCTCCTCTCCAGAGCAGCACAAGGTGAATGCCCACCACCAAACACTACCAAAGACTCACATGTGCAGGCTAAATCAAATGGCTCCAGGGGCCAGAAATGACCCACAGGCCACAGGTTGGTGACCCCCGTTTTACATCATTTAAAGAAAAATGTTAATTTTCACAACCAGTAATCAAGCAGGAGATCAACACCTCAAACTAAAATCTCTCTCAAATTAATATCCTTACAGATCCCAAGTCACAGTGAAGTCACCTAATAAGCAGGCTGCCAAGACTGAAAAGACTCTCAAGTCTTCCACATCTACAGGGTGGACACAAAAAATACAGCTTCCATCATGCCATTCCAAAGAAGCATAAGAGAAAAACAAGTCTGTTTTGGAACACTCTTCCCTAAAAATGGCCATGTAACAAGCTGAAAGTGAGATTTAGAAGGGTTAAAAAAATTCATCTTTAATAGCAGCACTGATCTAGAAGTAATACAGAGTATTCCTCACCTGTTGTAAATTCTTCAAGGTCATATGTTTTATGATAAGGATATACGGATACCACACCTTTTGGAGCTGGCTGGCCAAATCAGCAAAAAAAAAAAAAAAGACCAAAAAACCCTCAATCCTTAGTAACCTGATGCTTAAAATGTGCCTGGGGGGCCAACAATCTGATCACCTCAGTTTAGGCACCAGTTTGAAAACAGCCAGAGAAGTTATAAAAGCTACTTAATTCCCTTATGAAACAACATATCTTCTTCAAAGCAAGAGGGGAGTACAATCTATTGATTACAGCATGGAACACAAGAGTCCAAGGTACTACTTTTGGCTTTAACACTACCTTAGTGTGTCACCTTGGGGAACTCACTTCCCTTCTATGCCTCAATTCCACTGATTGTACGGACAGGAATAAGACACATGTCTATAAAGTGCTTCAAGACCCTTTGATGGAAGGAGCCACAGAAGTGTAAAGCACTATCACGGAAAGGGAAAACAAACACTTACAGTTTGGCATTCTGCCGCTTATTAGGAGGTTCTTTGCTAGACAGGATTTCCAGGCGCTCCAAGTTGCTGAATATTTTGTCTAGTCTTGCCTGAATCTCATTTTCTACCACTGTGAAGGGAAAAAAAAAAGAGAAGTAACCAAGTTGTTGGAAAAGACTAAACACACAATGCATTGCAATGAAATTATATATATATATATATATATATATAAAAAAATTAAGCGTATGTTTGTATATATGTATGTTTGCTAATAAGTTGAGAAAGACTGGACCTATCTATTCTAAACCTTCCAAAATCACTGACTACCACCTGAAGAAAAATTATAGGCAGGCTATTATTCATTTGACCCTTTTTGGGGCTTCCAGTGACTATTTAAGGGAACAATGCTTTTCACACGGACAGTTATGTGGCTTGCTCCAGAGCTGGTAGTTGAAGAGGGTTGTATATACTATCACCAACAGGAAACACTGCAAACATTGCTTACAAAGAAGTTCTACAATAAAAATAATTAATTTGGATGTCATTTGGAATATCGTGCCACGTTAAATATTAAATGTGAAATATGTTGTACTAAGTTCTTTAAAAATAAACAATATTTTGACCTAAATATGTTGTACTAAAAAATAAACAAACACTGCAATTACAAAAGTAATGACCCAGGTGAAGAACGAGTCCTTCTGCTAGTTAAGACCTAAATCACATGATAAATTGTAGCATACTGCCTGTTCAGGGAGTTTAATGGTGGGATAAAATGGCAAACCAGCTACTAAACATGAAACATTTTCATGGCTGGTTTGTATTCAACTTTCAATATGGCATGTGTCCTGGACCTGGGGCTGCACCCTGCTGACAATCAGATGGTTGTCAGCAGGGGGCATCCCCGAAGTCCCAGCTTCTTGGCACTTAGGGATATTTAAAAGCCCTGTAGGGCAGCTGGTGATTAGGAAGCTCCCAATCCTCAGCTGCATGCCCTGGCAGTCACACAATTGGGATGTGAGGAATTTTCTCTCTGCTCCCTGATTTATAGGACCAGACATAAAATTCTTCAAATCCCAACTGTGTGATCATAGTAACGTCGGCCAGCAGCCTTGAAAACATCTAAAAACATTGCACCAGAAGAGGACAAAGAAACCCTACATCCACTCCATAAAACCCACGTGCTTCTATACAGAAATTGTCATTCAAGGCTCTCAAAGCATCGTACAGACTGGAGGCCACTACAGTTAGAGACTTCCTTCTATCATCTCTGAAGTGCTATTTGAATTGCCCTGAAATTTAGCACATCCCAAAGGTATGCAAGGTGTGGTTAGAGATCCCAGTTGAGAGTCATGTGACCTTGGGTTGCCAATACAGCCCTTTGAAAAAAAAGATGGGGGGAGACCATTTCTTAGGGTCGATAAACTGCTGACTGGGCAAACCTGGGGGTGGAAAAAAAGAAGAAAAAAAAATTAAACCATGGCTTAGATGAGGCCCCAAGAAGACTCACTCACTCACTGTTTAGTCTAATTAGTGCAGGCCACCAGCCATCCTTTTGGGGATGCACATTCAGAATTAAGCTCTACAGAGAACCACAAGTCGAATAACCACATACCAAATAGACCACATTGCACACACAAATAACAGGCCACAGAAGCAACTCAAAAGTGTTGCTTGCTAACCATTTTGACATGACCCGAGTGGAAAATTAAACTCTTGAAAAGTGGGATACACAGTTAAGGGACAGGTAACCTATGCATGCACTGAGGCAGCCAGCCAGAGTGTGGGGGCATGGAAAAGCCAACCCATTTTGGGTTGTGCAAATGGTGGCTCAAGCATGACTGGGTAGATGGGTCCAAGGCCAGGGTGGGGAACCCAGCTGATTGGTGGATTTAGTTGTGATACAGGACCATGGTCAGTGAGCAGTTTGGCTATGTAACTAAGACTAGTGTAACAGCAGCTTCTTATACAATAAAGAACAAGACTGAAACCTGATTTTGAAAAAGAGGCAAAAAGAGAGCAGAAAGTTTCATATGAAATTAAATAAAAACAAAGACTCATAGCTCTTTTTGGTCCACTTGGAAGTGCAAGACCATAAAAAAAAAAATGAGCTAGGAGGCTTTGCAATACATGACCTGAACCTGACAGAAATCAAGGAGATGTTGCAAAAGGTGGCTATAACAGAATGAGAGACAAGCCTAGAAGGTGGGGAAGTAGTACTGACTTGAAAAGATTCTACACAATGCGTGATCCAACCCACAGAACCCTGCCATCTGACGCCTAGTGCTGCCCCTGTCTCTGAGCAGACCTACATAGAGCATGGCAAACACCAGCCCAGCCCCATGGGCATGTGGTGACCTCCACAGCCACTGCACTGCACAGGTGGCAGTGTGCAGCACGAATGCAAGACCAGCTGAAGTGAATGCAGCACTACACTTGATGCCAACCCACTCCAGGTGCTCCAGGACCCACGCTACAAGTGGGTCTTGGAACAGCTAGAGTAGGTGCTGTGCGTGCCATGGTTCCCAGAGGAAGCACCACAGGTACTGTAGTCCAGCCAGAGTGGGCACCTTGTGGAGTGCAATGCCTGCTCCAGCTAGTCTGGGGGCATCGGATTCTATACGCTGGGGGTGCAGGGCCAAAGAGGAGAGGGGACCTGGGAATTTAATCCTGCCTGCAGACTGGCCCTACACCATTCGTCCAGCCCATGAGTTTGACCACCCTGTTCTACATGATCTCTCAAATGAATCTACATGAGTATAACACACACATGGCCTGAATGTAACTGTCAAAAGGGTGATACCCTCAACTTCATATCAGGAAAATAAATGAGAACACGTTTCAGAGAGCAAAGAGGCAGCACAGTAACAAACTGAAAATAACACGGGGACTGCAACTGCACTCAGACACTGGTCATATGGTAGAAAAGGACAAAGTGACTGTTCCACTGAATAGCTTGCTCAACAGCACGCAGAGGAAAAGCTGTCTTGACCAAAGACTGAGAAGTTAAGAGATAACAACAGATGATCTACTAAACAAGGCCGACACCGTCACAATTAGGTTTCAGATCTCAAGGGAAGTGAGGGTACCAAGATATGTTTAATGTCTGAAAGCTAAAGTTTAGAGAAGTAATATCAATAAAATATAACTGGTCATCCCAGAGGCAAGGATTTTTGTGGGTACCTTTTATTGGACCAACTACACAATTGGGATAGACTCAGCCAAGCTTCCAAATGCAGTGCAGGTGACCCTGCAGCGCCTGTGCCGGAGGCTGACCACCCCAACCACACATTCTAAAATAACTATCACCTTAAGAAAGGGACCCTGGCATTTCTAAAGCTATCTTAATGACAACCCCTGTGGTTGAAAACACCAAGATATTAGGATGCAAAAGGATGAGATTAAATATAACATAGAAAATATAATATTGCTATTTAAGTCAGTGTTTCTCAACCCGTCGTACACAAAGCCGAGGGTATGCGAGACATGGGCAGAGGGTATGCGGGTGCTGTGTTTTTAGTTTGGCCCAACCCCCGCCCGGCAGGTTGGAGGTGTCTTTGCCTGTTTGGGCCAGAAGTTCTGGCTGCCACACCTCCCGCCGCTTTCACTCCCCAGCGTCAGTGTGCTGGGAGATAGGGAGGGGGCCCCCGCGCAGGCTGCTTTGCCCTGGGCCGTGGTACACGAGGAAAAAGTGGGACTTGGCTTGCAGCAGAGAAACCAGAATTGCCACGGTTGGATTTCTGGTTTCACTTCTGCCGCATCAATCAGCAGGCGGTACGCAAGGTACCAAAGGTTGAGAACCACTGATTTAAATAACAGTTCCCCCTCATTTGGCTGCTGTGTGCAGCAGATGAGGGGCCCTCCATCTCAAAAAACTTATTTTAGAACCATGGCTGGTTCTGAGAAAGGAAGTGAGAATAGACAAGAGCCTGTTAAACCCAAAAGGAGGGGTTGGCATTATTTTCTTTAGAAAACAGACAAGTGGGGATGTGACAAAAGTACATAAAAATCTAGGAAAAGGAGAGCATGGAGTTCCTGTTCCTTGTCTCCACACACTTGAACAAGGGGACATTAAAGACATTCAGAAACACCACACTTTTCATGCAAGTAAGCAAGCTGTGAAACTCACTGCCATGGGATTGCAAGGCCAAGAATTTAGGATGATTCAAATGGGCTGGACATTTATATAAACACACACAGAGTTAAATTACGTAATACGAGTAAAACACATGGAGTCCTGCTTAAATGCCTGTTCGGTTTCTAAGATATGAAAGCTTCTTCCACCCTGGTCCAGAGCCTTTGGTGCTGGTTGCTACTGGGGAGAGAATACTGGATCATATGGAACTTGGGTCTGACCTACTTTGCTTCACTGCCTTTCTAAAACAGAATATAAAAGTTGCCAAAGGTTAAACTTATTGCATTGGGTACAGCTAATGGAATCGCAAAAGTTCAAGGTTCAATGACAAAAAGAAACTCAGCGCACATGCACACTGGACTTGAACCACCCACTTCAGCTACTCACAGTGCACAGACTGCTTGTCTGAGGTTTCCAGATGTCCCATGTAAGACTGGACCTCCTGGATTTGCCTATCAAAGAAACACAAGGACAATATGGATCAACTGCTATTCAAACAGACTGTTGTCCAGTACAAAGTACAGAACGGGCGGGGGGGGGATACACACACACACACTAAAACATAACACTCAAAGCAAGGTGCAAAATGGATTTCCCTCTACTCGGCCCTGCCCGCAAGGGACTCTGATGGGTTGGGAAGCTGGACAAACGACTGACTGAGGCCTGCACATGAGTCCTTTAAAATTCCTGGCTCCCAGGCAGGCCACCTTCACCCTTGCTGCCACGTGGCAAAGGGACCAGGGCTCCCTGCCAGCGTCGCTACCTCTCAGTCCTGCTGCTGCTGCCATTTATTTTCGGGGAGCACCTTTGCCTTGGGATCCTCTCAACAGCAGTAATTGCCAGGGGGCACAGCCCTGCCCCAGTGCCAGCTATAGCCCCCTCACACTCCCCACTGAACCAGGCTAGTCCAGGCCTCTACCCTGCCCCAGCTCCCTCTCAGGGCACCCAGTGCCACGCAGCCCCTCACCCTTCACTGAGGAGCTGCTCGTGTGCCTGCGGGGACCCTGGTTTCTCCTGGGCAGCAACAGGGCTAGAGCGGCCGACCAGCCTTCCTGCCGAGGCCTGCCAAGCCTGCACGCGCCTCCTCTCCCTGCCTCCCCCCGGGGGGGGGAGAGACCAGGCAGACACGACGCCCCTCCAGCTGCTGCTCAGTCACTAACTGCTTTGTCACCGAGCGGCCCTCTGGGGGTAGATCGCCCATGGGGGACGGGGGGAAGCCCGAGCCCAGCGCTGCCCGGCTGCCGTGACGCACAGACCCCCAACACAGCCCGCCGCCACCGCTCACTTGTTGGTCTGGTGATAGAGCGTCTCCATGGCGGCACCCACACAGCTGCCGGCCCCCCGCCCGCCACACGTCACCTCAACGCGCTTCCGGCTTCCGGCGGGGTCCTGCTCATTTCCGCCGAGGCTGCCCTGCGAGGTGCCTGCGCGCGCAGACGTCAGGCGCGACGCGGACAGAACATCCCCCGCCCCGCCCCGCCCCGGCCTGGGCCAGGGGCCCGCCCCCGACGCGCTGAGGGTAGGGCAGGGCGGGGCCGCGTTTGGCTCGCGGGCCAGGGGTTGAGCGCCCTGCTGGGGGGTGCGGGGATGCCCCCACGTGATCGGAGGGCGGCTCAGAACCGAGCGGCGTGAGCGCGGGGGAGGAAGTGCGCAGGCGCGGGGGAGGGGCCGCGGGGTCGGGCGGTCGCGCGGGTGCAGCTTGATGCTGCTTCCGGCCTGAGGGCCGGTTTGGGAGCGGGACAGGCGAGCGGGGCCTGCGCCATCGGGAGCGGGTGGGGGCGGATTTGGGAGCTGCCTCTTGATGCTTTCCTGGGGAAGGAGCACCAGCTCGTGCTCCTGGGTGCACGCATGTTGAACCTTTGACTTTCAGTCAAATACAACTTGTCTTTATTTGTCCACAGACTGAGCTGACATGGAGCCAGCGCCCCTCCGTGTTCCTACTGTGCATCAAATAGGCCCATGCCACCCAGCAAACCACACCTTACTCTTTCTGCAAATGAAAACAGACTCTCAGCAGCACCTTCATGATGAAAACAGAGTTGATGGATTGATGCTTTTCCCCCCTCACATTCAAAAAATAACTTGAATTTAAACGGCATCTTATTATTTTAATTGCTTCTCGCTGGACGTGTCTACACGTGCATTTACGCCCATGTAAATTTACTGCGCAGTAAGCAGGTATAGGCCAGTGTCTACTCATGCAGGTGTTAAAGTGCATTAATGCTGTGTATAAACTCAAGTCAGCCCACACACAGTGTTACTAATTGGGTGTAAATGTGATACCTGCATGACAGAGATATCAAACTTACATTCAAGTCAGTGTAAATTACCATATTTGCTGCACAGTACAGGTGTGCACATGTAGACGTGCCTATACGCAGTAATTTCAGTTACTGTGCAGTAAATGTGCACGTGTAGACACCTGCTGATAATGACAGAACCACTCAACTAGTACAAAGTGGCCTAGTGAGACTGACAGTGAGGGAGCCAAACAAACCCTGTTCCATCTGAGCATTTCCCTTGTGTTCCTTGTGCTCCCCCTCATACAATCAGAAAATTAGGGCTGGAAGGGACCCCAGGAGCTCATCTAATCCAACCCCCTGCTGGCCCCACATGCCTTCAGAGCTTCCAGACCTAGGAGAAAGCCTTGGATGAAGTTAGTGGTTCCCAATCATATGACTGTACATAAATGATATCCTACACAAATAGTTATTGCTTGTCCCTGAGAAGGGACCAAACTGATGTACAGTCTGTTTTGGGCTGAATGAAGTGAGGCCTCACGTGACCAGCTGCAGTGCAGCTTTCTGACCAAAAGGAATTGGTGGGTTTTGGGGTTGTGAACTTGGCACTGATATGTACACAGTGGCAGAGCTGCCTCTCAACCAATGGATACTGCAGTCTTATGACTGCCTTTCTGGTACAATTATAATGCAGGGAAGTGGGGAGGAGGTACCACATGCCTTGGGAAAGCATCTTGCTCAGGCAGGTCTGAAATCAGCATGTTGATCCAGTTTGAAGGATCTTGATGAGCTGCTGGCACTTGTCTTACCTTCTGTCTTTTGCCCCCATTCCTTGAGGGCATTTTTCTAGATAAAAAATGTTTCCGTGTGTCTACACGGAAACATTTGCATGTATCTACAGCAAGCTGTACTGGCATGTATCTACAGCAAGCAAAATTTTCCCTTTTTCTTTATGTATTATTGGCAAGATTGCTAGTTGAATGCTAAATTTAGGGTTTCTATAACAAGTAATGGAAGAGACAGAA